AAAACTTCATCCAAGCGAGCATCGGAAGCTGGAATTTCCTTCTATCTCAATGACACTATGAATAACGCCTGACTGATTCTCTCCTTAGAATTGATTGTAGATCTGGTTGGAGAGTAAACAGATCATCGATGAATCGCGTGAAGCTGTGCTCTTAAGGTTGATTTCTCGAAATGTGGGGATTTCCNCAATCTAAATTGCTTGAAAACAAAACATTTTTTATGAACTGAGAATTGGATCGATTACTTTGCAGTATTTTGTTGTCTATTATTCAAATTTTCGAATACACCTAATTATCGGTTACGCGTTGTTGCCCCTTTCTTATTCGGTTCTCTCGTTCTGTTCATGCAATACCCTGGCAGTAATTCAAACAATTATGTGAATAATGCATAAAGAGATTGACTGAAATGCAATTAATTTTGTTGATTTCATTTGCAAAATATGAATATGAAGTGGTGATATGAAAACAACGATATAAATTCATAAGCCATTCAAAATGTTTTCCTTCAATCAATCCATTTAATTGATAATGCATAAAAACTGCTGCTGTTTTCACTTTCACAAGAAAGGTAGTTAAAAAAATTGTCGAAGACACCTAAAAGTTAATTGTACATTGACTGGATCAGATTGATGATTGACTACTGCACGAAAGTCGTCAACAAAATGTATACTGTACAAAACGATCGACTATCTATCGAAATGAGCGACAGTTTAACTCAAAACAGCCACTAAAACACCTTCGCGTCAATTAGATTTCTGTTTCCTAATGCAAAATCAAGTCGAATTTTGCAGGTAAATACACGATACCAACCCACATCACATCACAAAGTCACTGACAGTAACAACAGTCATAATGTAACTTCTTCTGCTGCTGCTGCTCCTACTGGTATTTTGCAATCGAACGAGCGTTACATTTTACTAAACACTGGTCGAGTAGGTGAGACGGCGATGCTGGCAACTGATTGGATTACTTGAAAATGATTGCGAAGTGTTCGTTCGTAACTGTTTGCAATAGCACTCAACTTACGTCTAACTACTTGCATTGACAGCATTCATTACCTTCATCATTTTAAAATTACACTTTTCCATATCATCAAAACGAGCATTCTCGTCAACAAATTGAGAAATTATCGTCATTCACGTTCCATTTGTCATCAAAATTGTTGACGGCATCAAACTGAGAGGAAACAATATTATACAGAAGACATTTTAAGACATGTAAATATATGGATGCACAGTAAGTGGTTAGGTTAGACACTAACTTGATACCTTATGATGCAGCAGCCAGCCTGCTCCAGTCGAAAGTCAAAAACTCATCATTCTATGATCAATTTCTTGTTATTCCTAGTTTTACGATCGTCTTCTCTTCCCAAACCCACTATTGTTATACCATCAAATTAGCCACATCCTCCTGAACGGTAATGTGTTACGCATTCCGCGCACAAAACAAGTTTCTGATGCATTGCAAAGCATTTCTATTTGTCAAATACACATAAATAAATGCAGAAGCGTCGTTAAGGAACACAGCAGCAAAAAAGGATCAGTACATATGTTAAGAAGTTTGTATCAAAACTGGGAGTGGAACAAAATGATGAAAGAGCGATGATAGTAGCGCTTCGATATCGTCACATCAAACAGCCACGAAATGAGAAATAGAATTGTGCTCTGAATTGAAACGATAGCAGTCATGCTTTCAGCGTATGCTGAATGCATCATCTGCATAACAGCGTGAATGCTGAATANATGATTTAATCCATTTAGCGAACAAACTCAGGAAATCATTTAATGAAATAAACTGAATGAAAAATTAATGAAATGAACTCAGTGTCAAGAAAAAACTGCAGCTCAAGTTCATTATATCATCGAAACGGTGCGGGTGTAGTCGGCGATACTGAGCTGAACGCCAAAAGATCGCTTAAAGTTTCGTAGAGCTATGAAAAAACAAGCAACTTACATTCCCACAATGCAAAGCAATCCATAGCATGGTACGATGAAATTATTGAAACTTTATTCACATACCCAATGCTTATCATGTATTAACGCATTATCATTTTAATACAGAAGACAAGGCTTCATTTCTAAAATTGTGATTTATGTGAATTCATCCAGCTGGCTGGTCTAAAATTGTGGTTCTAGCCGGAAAATCTGCGTGTTCAGATTGGTCGGAATTTCAGAGTATTTCTGATGCGACTCAGTCTTGCATCAGAATCTTTGCAACAATCTAATTGGATCCATTAGATCAGCAAGTTCGCAAATCAGTTTCAGAAAATTGCGTTCAGTTTTTGCACTGATCTCGAAAGAACTCTTAAATGCACTGAATTAAGGTTCTCAACATCAATAATTTCTGAAAATCTCACGTTTCATCTAGACTTCGACTTGGTTAATCGATGCGAATCAATAATTTGAATATTCGAAGATCCATTATCCATCACTCAACTCTTATTCATTATTACGATAATGGCATCGTATAATTTCCTTAATTGAAGTTTTTTTTCAAAAACGTGATAATTTCTAAATCATTTACATTTCAAATGGTTGCAATTTCAAATGATTCCGAATCCCAAAATCCAGTCCGGCTGGTCTTACAGTGTGTGCGCGCATGCGATCTGACCAAAGATAATGACTCATTTTCCATGAATGATTATGGGTAGTTTTCTATACAATTGAATCATACAATCATTACGACAATAGTCTGGTGAAAAAGTTGAACGAAGCAACTGAATCGTTCCAATAATACCACTGCTTCAAATAAGTATATCATTCACATAATATCAATGATAACTGTGCACCAATGAATTCAGAATCAATGACTTCAACGCGTTCAATTCAGCGAAAAAAATGCATCCCTCCATTTCCACTGATCACTTTGTGTTTTTTAAAAAAATCCAAAAACTTTGATCGAAACAGTTAGAAAGTTTACGATTGAATATTGTCATAATGAAGATTGAAGGAAAATTTGAATTGAATTGCGGTCGCAGTTCGCTGTAATTTTCGCTGAAAATTTTTACTGAATTAAACAACAACAATCGTTGAAAGAGAGAAGATTGTTGGAATGCTGAGAAAAAACTCGGAAACCGGAAAAATTGCTTCCACCTATATTTCGTTTTCTTACGGTTCAGATGTCCTTGAGTGCAGTGAAAGCGACTCTCTCTTTTCTTCTTTCTTATTCTTTTTTTTGGAATACTCAATTGAAAATACGGGTTTGCTTGCCAGTTCCCTTCGGTTGGTTGAGTTGAATTCGCTCATTGGACTCAGTTCCAGTTTCACACATTTTTTCTAACTTTTATGGAACAAAACATCAGTTTCGGAGAAACTTTCTTGTTGACGCTTACAAAAAGAAATGGTAATGATAATGAATGATGACAAATGATGGATCAGTTTGATAATTTCTGTTCCACAAACAAAGCGGAATGAGAAAAACTTCTGCTTTGATCAATTTAGCAACAGCAAATTGAGCTGTGTTTCAAACTTGCTAAAAATTTTTTTTCAAAAGTTTGATTCGGAAAGAACTAACAATAAGTGAAAACTTAATTACATGATTTTCTTATGAAACAAAAACCGATGCTTTTTTGGCTGTGTTTATTGGGTTTTGCATTGATGGGTTTCAGTTATTTCTCTAGTTGTAAACAAGAAATGTTTTTCCGGCTGATTTCACTGGTGATTATAGTGGTGCGCTCGTTCCATTCAGGTGATCGTCGCATGAGTACAGAAGAATAGCAGAAAATCAAGGTGATTGGTAGCAACAAAAACTTGAAATCGGTGGCGAGTAGGAGTGGCCATGTGATTATAAAAGCACTTGATTCCAGCAACGAAATTGCAGTTTCGCATTCGAAATTGTTTCAGCGCTCAGCACAAATTCACTTTCCAAAAGGTGATTTGATAGTGAGTTGCTGTTGTTGCGGTCGAATGTTGACTGTTAAATGCGATTCATGATCAGTTTCTTTCGCTAAGTTATTATCGATGTGACTTTAGTTGCGTTTTCGTTTAGCTCTGAGACAGTTATTCGATGTTCACATAATTGAATATCGCAAGATATCTGACTGAAAATGAGCAAATTCAGGTTTGACAATCAGTGCTATAGGGAAACTGAACTCATTAGCTCCTGAGCGAATTAGGAGTTTCACAATAGTTTTTTGAGAAGAACTATAGGTTGTAGAGCAGTGATATGGTAGTGAAATCGAATGTTTCTTGAGAATGCCCGCGAGAATTTCATTCTTTTGAAATAGAGTATCTCACAGATTAAGGCCTAATTGCAAATTCAATTCCTGATCGTAATCATTCTATCCTATTCCTGCACAGTTAATCGCTAGTGCTTTATTGTATTGAAGACAATTTCGGATTGGAAATTTTTGTGCCAAAATGGAAACTGAATGAAAATTTCAGTATGGGGGCGCGAACGATCGTGAATATCGCGTCCGCGGCCAGTGGTGCCGTTATAATTGCGTCGTTGATCGTTTGTGGAGTGCTTTTCAATGATTTGAACACACTCTACAGCGATGTTCTTTCGGATATGGATGACTTTAAGGTGAGTTCCGAGGATTTTCGCTTGAAACTATTTGAAATGATCACTTTAACGATTGATCAATTGATCAGCTGTCAATCAATGTCGATCAGCTTAACTAGTAGAATAGGAATTCGAATTGAATTAGCAAACCATGACTATCAGGGGATGTTCGGTCTCATGAGAATCATCGCTTGGCTCGTTGATTATTCGATTGCAAAATCAAGTGTTTCTGGTGAAAAACTTGAAAGAAGCTACTAGTTTAAATCAAGATAACGTCTGATATTCATGCTTACGATAAGAAAGAGATATGAGTGATTTAGACATTGGCGAACGATGCATGGGATGAGATCATGTCGGTGCATGGAATGATCAAAGGGGCACATGAGAAGAGCGCTAAAGATCTGTTCTCTGAACTGATCTCGCACGGTGGACGTGCCAAGCGACAGGCCAATTGCGGTGAGATCTGTTAACCTCTTTCGAAACTCTGTTCGGTGTGGAACCGGGCAGTGCGAAAGCAAACTAAAATTTATCTCAATTCAGCTAAAAAGTAGCATTGAAACTCATTTTGATCAAACGGTTTCATCAATTCGCGTATCTCAAATAGAGATGAGTTCGAACAAGCACCTGAACTGAACTAACTCATTTCTCGTTTTCAGCATGCGCAGCCAGAGCAGCTAACTGCCCACCAGGCCCACCAGGACCACAAGGAGATCCTGGACCACCTGGAGGTGAGAGCTTCAACTCGTTTTGATGTTGACTTCTACTTCACGGCTATATTTAAAGAAAGACATCTTTTAACACT